TGGTTAACTATTTTGAACATTTATATAAATATATATATATATATATATATATATATATATATATATATATATATATATATATATATTAGCAACTATTCCATTACAATGGCTCTCGGAGATAACCACGTTTCTGTGTCTGTGGTGAGATGGAATATCGTTCCTTTTATGGATTATATGCCAAACTATTCCTCAATGCATCCATTATTTGACTAATCGTGCGTGTATTTGTTTATGTACCTTGGTACATAAGTACATATATATTCCTACATACGTATGTACTTATGTACATAAATAGATCATACGTTCACATTGATCAAGCATAAATGATGCGAGCACATCGTATATCTTCTTACGATAAAAAAAAAAAAAAAAAAAAAAAAAAAAAAAATGTAAAGTTTTCTATATACAAGTGGGAAAAAGTGATTGGCCTATTCGACGGTTTTCTTGAAAATATATATTTTTCGTTTCTTTTTTTTTTATCCTTCATTTATGAGAAAACGTTAAGAACATTAGTAGCGTACGTAAAACTCGAGAGGTATAATATAATAAATGCGAATTTGTATAAAAAGAAAGAAAAACTCATCCAAAGAGACTTGCGAGTGTTATAGCATAAGAGGATAGGAAAGTTGTGTGTGTGTGTGTGTATGGAGGGTGAGTAGAGGGGAGGGGAAGGGGAGGAGAAAGTAGCGAGAAAGGAAAAGAAAAACTCGAGAGGACGCGTTTACGAGCAAATATTTGCGATCACGTTTTAACAGTATCTATCGACCTATCGAGAGGGATGAAGGATGGGAGTGGGAGGTTGGGAGGAAGGAATGGGGTAGGTTGGGGGGGTGGGGGGGGGGGGACGAGATGGGGGACGGAGAGGTTTATATTATATAAAAGTAAATCCGTAGATTGAGTTTGTATAACTCTGAACTCGGGAATAAGAAGAAGGTATTTTTCGCTTGGATTCCGTCGATCGATTCGATCCTGGCGGAATAAAACGTAAGTCTATTTTTCTAGTTTATTTTCTCGACCATTTTCTACGGGATATTCGAGTAGTGGCGGGGGGGGGGGGTTGTGCGAGGGAGGAGAAGGAGAAGGAGAAGGGATGTGAAACGTTGAAAATACGTAATGTAGAAATAGCTGTAAAGGTATATAGGTAAATAGAGACAGAGAGAGAGAGAGAGAGAGAGAGAGACAGAGAGAGAGAGAGAGAGAGACAGAGAGAGAGAGAGACAGAGAGAGAGAGAGAGAGAGAGAGAGAGAGAGAGAGAGAGAGAGAGAGAGAGAGAGAGAGAGGGGGTAAGTTTTCCGCCTGTAGACGTTTTACTCTAACCGTGGACCGTGGACGGTAACAACGGCGGAGAAGAGAATACATGACATGAGAAAAATTGTTGCTGCACGAGTTATATACCCGAACTTTCTCGATTCGTTCGCGAAAGTTTATCGGTTGACACAAGGAGTCAAATAGTATATGCACGTTGAATTTGCGTCAGTTCGTAAATGCACCGACGCCGTTGACTGCTCCGCCGTTGCGGTTAACGTACGTCAACTCGAGTTATTATTCGCTTTGTTACAAACGAATTTAATGTCGTACGTGTCTAGACCCTTGAAAATGACATCCATTCTAAAGAGAAACGAGGCAACATCCGAATACTTTCAAAAGTCTCGTATAAACTTATATATCCATACAGAATATCCTTCTTCTTCTTCTTCTTCTTATTCTTATTCTTCTTCTATTTCTTATTCTTTCTCTTTTCCTTTTTTCTTTCCTTTCTTGTTTTTTTTTTTTCATTTATTTATTTATTTATTTATTTATTTATTTATTTATTTATTTATTTATATAAATATCCGAACGATCACGAAGTATTTTGTCTATTGTAAGAGATATGACACATCCTTTTACGTTGAGAATCTTTTTCTTTCTATCGAACGATTTATGGTTATTTTTCGTTGGATCTAGCGTGCACGAAGGAAACAACAGTTTGATATTCCAGTCCACGCTCCTTTCGTGATCCACTCTGGTAGCTTGCGAGTGGTTTGCTCCACGAGAAAGAGAGAGAGAGAGAGAGAGAGAGAGAGAAAGTAAAGAAAAAAGGATAGAAAGAGATCGAACAATACTCGAGATTGGCTATTTGTTATCGTTCGTAGATTCATCTAACTCGATGGGGACATACTACATACGATGTAAAAAAAAATAGGGAAAAAAGAAAGAACGAAAGAAAAAGAAAAGTGAAGTAATTAAATTTAATCCTCTCTCTCTCTCTCTCTCTATCTCTCTTTTTTCTTTTTTTTTAACTCTTAAATCTAACCAAGTCGACGAAGATAAAAAAAAAAAAAGAAAAAAATAAAGAATTTGATATTAATGATTAGAATAAAATGGAAAAATTCGAAATCTTTTTTCTCTCTTTTTCTTTTTTTTTTCTTTTTTCTTTTTTAATGTAGTTTCTAGTACTTCCGCGGTATAATCATCTTTTCTTCAAAGAGAGAGAGAAAGAAAGAGAAAGAGAGAGAAAGAGAAAGAGAGAGAGAGAGAGAGAGAGAGAAAGAGGAAAGAAAAATAGAGGCCAAGTAATTGCACTCATGGGGCTAATTCTTCTCTTCTTTTTTTTTTTTTTTCCATTTTATTGTGTATATGCGAGCAGAGAGATAGCGAGGAGTAATCGCACTTTACGAAAGAGCATAAGTTATCCTGCAAACGTTCGCGGAGACGTTAAGAGCCTTCAAGGGGAGTGTTGGGATCATTAAACGTAATCGCGAAGTCATTAGTACCAACTCTTAAAAATCTCTCTCTCTCTCTCTCTCTCTCTCTCTCTCTCTCTCTTTCTCTTCTCCTATCCCGCCCTATCCTACTGTCTCTTTAACGCAGAAACTCGCGAAGATCTAATCGCCAACGATCGAGTTTTACGTTCGAAACGATATGTACATGTATTTGTATGTACTTAGATAATCCCTCGGAATTTCAGTTTCTAAATGCAAAGTCACAACTCCTAACACAACCTAGATAGATAGAAAGCGAATACTTCATTAGCACGGATTGTTTTAGTATTCTCGACGATTAAAATTTCATTGAATTCATCAGTCGAGTCTTGTATTTGTCTCTCTCTCTCTCTCTCTCTCTCTCTCTCTCTCTTGTCTTTTTACGAAAGTGGAAAAGCTGCTTCAGAAAATTCGTCGATTCGAACAAGAGAGAGAGAGAGAGAGAGAGAGAGAGAGAGAGAGAGAGAGAGAGAGAGAGAGAGAGAGAGAGAGAGAGAGAAATACTAATCTGCAGCCTTCGCTTAACGAGAATGGTTACTTCTTGAATTTTAGTTTTCTGTCTATCTGACTCTCTTTCTCTTTCTCTCTTTCTCTCTCTCCCTCTCTCTCTCTCTCTCTCTCTCTCTCTCTCTCTCTCTCTCTCTCTCTCTTTCTTACTTTTTTGATTGGAAGGATAAGATGACGTTAAAAAAGGTATCGTCAAAAAGTTTTGAACGAATCAACTCAATTTCAGTTGAATCTTCAATTTTCCTTCCCTTGTCACCTCCCCTACCACTACTATCTATCCCCTCTTCTCTCCGCCATCCTAAAGTCCTGACCTAATCCATGAAAGTTGATCCTAATCCTCGTTGATATCACGCAGGAATATATTTTCTGTTGAAACGGAAGCGATATGTCGTAAGAAAGGAAAGTTTTCTCACATGATAAAGAAAAGAAAAGAAAAGAGAGAGAGAGAGAGAGAGAGAGAGAGAGAGAGAGAGAGAGAGAGAGAGAGAGAGAGAGAGAGAGAGAGTGAGAGAAAGAAAAAAAAGGTTTCATTGCGTTCGCGTAAAGCCATTCGAAGATCTATCGTCAAATTTCGATCGTTCGAGAGGAAAGATCATCCTCTTGAATGAAAGGATAATCGATCGTAGAAGATTCTTTCGACGTTACCAAAGGCCAGTGGCTCGTTAAACTCGAAAAGGTTGGATGATAACGCTTAACCCTTGAAGGAATTTTTCTTCCTACCCCGTAAAGAAAAAAGAAAAAAGAAAAAAGAAAAAAAAATAACAACTCCACTAAATTTTGTTCTTCTTTTTTTCTTTTTTTTTTTTTCCCCTATCATCCCGCCAATTTCGTGAAAGTATTCGAGAATAGTGAGAAAAACCTTTTCATAATAATACATAATAATCGTTATATATCTAACGCTCGAGTAGCGCTTTTTACTCTATCTTATACGATTGAAAAGAAAGAAAGAAAGAAAGAAAAAAGAGAAAAGAAAAGAAAAGAATACAAAAAATAAAACCAAAAAAGAAAAAAAGAAAAGAAAAAAAAGAAAAAAAAGTACCTCATCTATTTATCATATTCTCGTTTAATCAAAAGAGAAAAATATCTCGGTCGTGCTTTTCTTTTCGTTCACTTTTGCATGGAGCGTCTCAAAGAACGCTTTTTGAATTATATATTTAACGCGAAGGGGGTTGAGGAAAATGGGGAGATGGTGGATGGAGGGGGTGGAAGGGGGGGGGGGAGAAGGGGGAAGGGTTAGGGGAAGATGGAATCGAATTGTACATTAAGAAACCTGCGGAATAATACTGAGAAGGCGTTATAGATTCGTCTTGAGTAGAAAAAGATAGAGAAAGAAAAAGAGAAAGAGAGATATAGAGATAGAGATGGAGATAGAAAGAGAGAGAGAGAGAAAGAACGAAAAAAGAAAGAAAGATAGATAGATAGATAGATAGATAGATAGAGACGCGCGTTTCTCTTTGCAGAGAATTTCGTATCGATCCCAATGAAAGGAGACAAGTTCCCATTGTGAAACTAAGTACCATTGCATACATCTGTCGTATTAAATCTTTCGAACGGCGTGAGTGCAAAGCCGAGCTTTGCAATTTTCAATACACTTTGAATATCTCTTTCTCTCTCTTTCTCTCTCTCTCTTTCTCTCTGGTTCTCTTTCTTTCTCTTTCTATCTCTCACATAAGCGCGTACAAAAGAGATATTACAAGAGATCTTGAAAAGGTAATATGAAAAATACAAAAATACATAATGGATATAAATTTTGTTTTCTTTTTTTTTTTTTTCTTTTTTTTTCTTTTTTTTTTCTTTTTTTTTACGATAAATCTTATAACTTATTCGATTAACCCTTTCATTGATATCATACAAAATTATAAAAGATGATTTTTAAGTCGTTAAGTTTTAACTCTTATTAACGTCTTCGAAATCTTCGATCTCGATTGAGTTCGTCATTTCAACGTTAATCTTCGACTATCAAATAAATTATAATCGACGATTTGTCGATTTGATAGTCAAATGCAATTTTATACGAAATCATTTAAATATTTCGAGGTGTGTTGGTTATGGCACGTGATACATGTCTATTACTCTTCTAAACCTCGGTCTCGTTTCTCCGGTTCCTTCGTCTATCTTACCGTTTGAAGTTACAATTAACTGAAACTAGTGTGAAAGAGAGAGATAGAGATAGAGATAGTGATAGAGAGAAAGAGAGAAAGAGAGGGAAACCGACCAATGGTAAGGCATTATCGAATGTTGTAGATTTGTATGAGTTACCGGGGCTATAATTCAAGAAACTAAGAGAGATAGACAGAGAGAGAAAGAGAGAGAGAGAGAGCAGGTTTGTAGGTAGGTAATCTCTCTTTCCCATAACGAATCCACCAGAGAGATCCACTTAAACCGGCGCAAGGAACGATTTATCGAACTACTGGACGTGTTCTCGCTTTCGTCCTGGAAAAATTGGCCGGCCAACCTCCATCTTTACTTGTCACGTCTGGACTCTCCTGAAATTCTTCTTTCCTCTCTATCCTTTTATTTCTTCATTTTCATTCTACCATTCTCTATTTCCCTCCTCGACGATTAGACGAAGAGAAAGAGAAAGAGGAGGAAGGTGGAGTCAGTACTTAATCGTGAAAAGACACCTTCCTGCCTTTTAACGATGCCAGAACACGAAAACCGTAAGTTAGTAGAGCTTTATTTTATCCCCTTGTAAACTCGCTTAAGTGCCTCTCGTTCGGTACGATTTAAATTTCGTTTAGAAACGAGAAATAGAGTAGGAGACATAGGGAGATAGAGAAATAAAAGAAAAGGAAGGAAATGAAAAAAAAAAGAAAGAAAAAAGAAAAGAAAGAAAAGAAAAGAAAAGAAAAGAAAAAAGAAAAGGAAAAGGGTAAGAGTAAGTTGTGAAAACGAGATGGAAAATGGTATTATTAGGCTTTAGCAAAGGTGAGACTCGATCGAGGTGGAAATGCGTTTAGAGACACGACCTAAGTGCATTCCTTTATTACAGAGTTTCACCTCCCCCCACACATACACTCACACCCACATATATATATATATATATATATATATATATATATAGAGAGAGAGAGAGAGAGATAGATAGATAGAAGTTTACTTAGGTGCGACCACGAGGTGAACGAGACTCCTCTCTCTTCCCTGGAGTCCGTTTTGCACTTTGAATGCCGGTAGCTAAGTGCAATCCACTTTGAGACCGCGTCACCGCAACATATATAACGGTATCCTGGCTTCCCACTATCATCCGACATTTTCACACTTTTCGCGAGAATTCTACTAAAAAGCCTGAGGGTGATTACATACACACAGAAATATGTATATATATATATGGATGCATACATGTGTAAAATGTCTATCTATCTGTACATGTAAGTGTACAAGATGCTTTAACTCGAGACAAGAAAGTTAACTTTCTTTTCTAAAAGTATTTTAGAAATTGGATAAAAATTTGAATAAAAATATTTCAATGGATAAATATTGTGAATGGTCGATGATAGTCCGAATAAATTTTTAATCATTACAATTTTTATTTTACTTTCTCTCTCTCTCTCTCTCTCTCTCTCTCTCTCTCTCTCTCTCACTCTCTCTCAAATAATTAACTTCGATTTACGAAAGTAGCCATTTTTCCGGATATCGTATCAAACTCTAAAACTAATTGTAATATCCTTCCTTTACGAATTGAAACGAATCTATTTCACAAACAATTCTTAAAGAAAACGTACAAATAAATAGACAGACAGATAGACAGACAGATAGATAGATAGATAGATAGATAGGTAGATAGAGTGAATAAATAAATTTTATTTTCTCTTTCTTTTTCTTTCTATTCTTTCTTTAAAAAAAAAAAAAAAAAAAAAAAAAAAAAAAAAAAAAAAAAAAAGATAGGATTAAAAGTGTTATATCGTAATAAAATATCGCAATCCAAATCCTATTTGAATTGCGTCGCTTGCCAACCCAATAACTCGTAAAAGTCAGAAATCACTATCACTCTCGCGTATTATGAACGTAATGCAAAGGTAGGATTGAAGGGACGATAAGAAGATAAAAATTGTCAATTACAAAACAATCTATCGATCGATCGATCGATCGAATGATCGAATGTTTTCCCAATTCTAGACGACATTAAAATGAAATTTTATGAGAAGTTCACCACCCGTTGCTTTCGCTTATCGTAAAAATGCATCATCGACGAGTCTCCTCGTGAAATCGATAGCGAACGTCCAACGATGGATATATGTCAAGAACGCCCGATGCAGCTGGCTTTTTAACGCGTTCTCTCTCTCTCTCCCCTTCCCCCACACACACCCCCCCACCTCTCTTTCTCTTTATTTTAAAGAATGCCCTATCAAAAAAAAAAAAAAAAAAAAAAAAAACATATATCGTTTGGAAAATCTTCGGACGACTGTTATTATCGAAAAACGTTAACGTTTGAGATAGAAAAGAGAATAGGATGAAATTTAATTTATATTTAATTTATAGCTCGATGTTGCATGTTATAGTTGTGGGAAGAGGAAGAAGAAAAAAAAAAAAAAAAAAAAAAAACAAACAATAAGCCCATCCAATTTTCCTACAATTCCTTCTCTCTCTCTCTCTCTCTCTCTCTCTCTCTCTCTCTCTCTCTCTCTCTCTCTCTTTTCTGTATATCTATTTACTCGAACTAACGAACAGAATGTATATCTTTATATTACTATTATTATTACTATTATTTTGTTTTTTTATTAACAGCAGCGGCGATAGCGGAGGAAGCAGTGCGTCGGGTTCAAGGACGAGTCTGTCGATTGGTCAGGACGATATGAGTTCACCGATAGCTCCGAAACAACGACGTAGAGCATCGACGTATAACGAGAGACATCTCGAAAGAGCAGATTCTATAACACCGAAGATGTCCCGCAAGAGATCATTCAGTTTTCACGAACAAATGGCATTCAGGCGATCCTCTTCCTCGAGAAAGAGTTCGGCCAATATCGAGGATAACGCAAAATCAAGAAAATCCTCAGAAAAATCTGACAATGAAAGCACGACGATAATAGCATTGCCACCTCCCTGCACCTGTCCGTATTTCGGTGAATCCTCAAAGAAACAAATACCCCAGCAACCTAGCGAGATCGTCATTGTTTCGAGTGAAACTATGAAGCCTATTACTGAGAGAACACTTGAAATGAATCTTCTTGGTAGAAAGAACAGCGGAAGAAGTAACGAACTCGTAGGAATGAATTCGATCGTAACTTGGAGAGGAGGAAGACGTGGTTCTAGTTTAGGTGAGTCTCAATTTTTATCATCGTTCGATCATACGATCATTTTTCTTCGATTTTATTCGCAATCTTTAAATGCGTTCGATACCAACCTCACATAACTGTGACCCATCGATTTCTATTGAGCTCATAAAAAAAGAAAAGAAAAAAAAAAAACCCTGTAATATATTTTTCAGAATTTCGAAGAAAAAAAAGTATTGGGGTTGCGGTTGGAATTTCTTTTTAGCGGCATGATAACGAAATTGCATTAAATCCAATATTTCTATCAATTATATTTTTTCTACGTCGTGATCTCTTCTTTTCTTTTCCTTTCTTTTTTTTTTTGTGTCAATATGAAGGATACTCCGATATCAGATATAAAATATAAAGGATATCAAATATATATATACATGCACACACACACACACACACACACACACAGTACGTATTATATATATATAATTCCAAAATATCTGATAAATGTAAATTATATTAGGAAATATTTGTCAACAGGTAGTACGAGGACTCAATTGGCGAGTACGAGAACGACACCATTACGACGTGCGGCGACATTGCGCGCGCACAATGGCGCGGCAACCAGTACATCTTCGAATCAAAGTAGTAATCCATCGTCCTCATGTTCCATAAGACATGGTGGTGGCAGTGGTGGTGGTGGTGGTGGTGGTGGTGCTAGTGGTGGTAGTGGTACCGGTATTAGTGGTGTACGTGCACATCATTCGAGAACGAGTAGCGTTGTTTCAAGGAATAGCTCGAGACACGGTAGGATCATAAGACTCGAGCAAAAAGCTACTAAAGTACTCGGTGTTGTTTTCTTCACCTTCGTCATTCTTTGGGCGCCATTTTTCGTTTTAAATCTTGTCCCGGCTGTATGTCCAGATTGCGAAAAACAAATCAATCGTAATATCTTCGATTTGGTTACGTGGCTCGGTTATGCCAGTTCAATGGTCAATCCTATATTTTACACCATTTTTAATAAGGTATTCAGACAAACCTTCAAACAGGTACTTCTCTGCAGATACAGGAATCAAGCCTGGAGACCGTCTAGGTAGGCACTCGGCCCCGGGAGACCGGGGTCTGCCGTTACCAGGCTTTAACGTCCATTTAGTTTTCGAAAAGATTGGGCTTTGATAAAAAGGAAAAGTATTATACGAGATAGAACTAGGAAAAACGTCGGTGGGAACTTTTATTCTTTCTCTCTCTCTTTCTCTGTTTCTCTCTCTCTCTCTCTCTCTCTCTCTCTCTCTCTCTCTCTCTTTCTCTCTTTTCATCTTTATCTCTATCTCTTTCTCTTTTTTTCTTTTTCTCACGTCCACACGACAATGTCCAGACACATCAGATAGGAGATTTGATTAATCGAAAGATCTTCAATGAGGATCGAAATAATACTAATAGTAATAATAATAATAATAATAATAATAATAATAATAATAATAATAATAATAATAAATAAAAGACATTCTCTCTCTCTTTCTCTCTCGTTCTCTCTCTCTCTCTCTCTC